CTCGGTAAGGTTTGATTATTTTGCACTATGCACTGTTTAGCATTGCCTATAGCGATAGTACCCCTAAATTGATTAATACCCGCGAATTATCATATAAAACCAGAATACAAATTACACAAAAATAGCAAGCTAATATAAATATATACCACTGGGTATTATTTAAGAATTAGGATGGTAAACAAATACCTGGGTCTTCATAATTGTTGGTATGTATTATCAGCTAAACAGTAGATTTCAGTAATTGTTCAACTAATATGGTAATATGTTAAATGATCTTCTACTAATTTGTTTATTAATATTTTGTGATTAATTACTATAAATAGATAATGCATGTAAATTTAAAACAGGGTTGAACTTGTGTTTTTTCAAGTACTCGGCCACCAATTACTCTAACATTCTAGTCCAACTTTAGAAGTGATCTAAGATCTAATTTTTGTAATTCATTTTTATTATCAGCCATGAAAATCTCCAAATCAACTGTCATATAATTTAGATTTTTAACGGCATCAACCACCTCTTTATCCAAAAGACTTTCTTGGACAAAAAGGTTAAATGCAAATTAGATAAAATTGGTAAAATGGGCAACGTTGTCAGGATGATCATTGAATGTTCTTTGGACGTCTGTCACATCCTTATAATGCTTCATAAAGCCATCCAGTTACTTTCGCGTATATATTGGGCAATCTGATGTGTAGTTTGCTGCTTTGTCTTGGTAAGTCGAAATTATAATTGTTTAGTTTTTTTTTTCATTTAATAAATGGCAAACAATTATTTACAACTTACTTATGTTTTCTAATAAATTTAGGGACAAGCTTTCTAAGTTCACGCCTCAAAGAAGCATTGTAATCACGATAACATCCAAATGCCCACATTTGCAATGCTGCACGATCCAATGCACCAGTATTTTGAACGTTTGAAAACAAAGTCCTCAATAGTTCATCGATTATATGTTTGTTTATGACTCTTGTGTGGAAAAAGAGACATTTTAGATGCATTTAGAATGTTTTAAGTTCCTAATTAAATAGAAAAAAAATAAATAATTGAATTTTCAACATTAACGAATTATATATTATATTTACTCTTTCTAAGAGCATATTGAATTTATCAACTCTTCTCTGAGTTATTAAAGATTTCTTATCACCCGCATTTATTATATTTAATGCTAAATCATTAAGCTGTGGATGCTGCACTAAATACAGACAAACATCGAGATCAGTTTTAAATGGACCAATTTGCGATGAGGTATTAATCGTGGTTGATGATGAGGATTGCTGACAGTAAGCTTCTTCAAATGAATTTCTTCTAGTTAAAGACGATGTGGTATCTGGATTTGATGTTGTTAATGGTCGGTCATTAATACTTTTAGATGAATGGGTTCTGCTTAAAAAAGGTAAGGTGGAGTTAAATGTTGGCAATTGTTGGCCACGAAGACTTTCAGGCGAATGGCTTCTATCGGAAAAAGATGGTGTGTTATTAGATGCCAATGATCATTGGTCATAAAAATTTTCAGGGGAATTATTTCTGGTTAAAGGAGATGAGGTATTTGAAGTTTGTTCATTTTGTTCATTTTGTTCATCTTGTTCATCATGTTCATTTTGTCTTATAATATTTTTCGACTTATAAAAACGTGAATTATCCACATTTCGAATCATATCTAAATTAAAAAAAAAAATTTAGGATTGTACGTATATCAAAAATTTATAAAGATGTTATACCATTGTTATTACTAGCCGAACTTGCTGCTTCATTTTTCCTTCTTTTCTTTTTTACATTAGTGCGATCTGAATTTGTTTCTTTTTCTCTAACGTTTGTATCTGGTTCAAGATTTTCAACCAAAGTATTGGCTTCGATGGATCTCAATGGCGACTTAGAAACTAATTAAACAATTACATTAATAAAAATAATAAGAATATACTAGTGGCCAACGCAAATTTATCTCTTATTGTTACTTCTTTTCTTATACTTTCGTGTTTTAACCATATCGAACTTAATATGAATTGGATAAAGTTTTAATTGAATCTTACTGCACTAATCTATATTTTTCTCTTTTTGTTCAATACCACTACCTTTATTATCAGCCTTTCAAATATTTATTGAAAAAAAAATTTTTAAATTTTGATTTTTTTTTTATTTGTTTACTACACCTACATAATAATTATGCGTTTATTAATTATTACAAATATAGAAATCATACAGTAATTTTAAAAAACTTGTATGAATCACGTACGTACATACATATATGTTAAGTGTCATTTGTTGATCCTGACTATTCAGAATTTACACCTGTTATTTTTGAATTTTCACTGATCAATGAATGATCTCCGTCAATTATTGATGCAACTATTGGATTTATTATGCAACTATTAGATTTATTATGCGACT